AGTCTACCTCATATTTGAGGGCTTAGTCGGGTACTGTACATACTAACTATTTACATATGCACACATATAGTAAGACAATGAACAATTATTAGTAATACAAAAAAAAGTAATTGGAAAAATTTAAATCTACTAATTACTGACTAACAAATTACTTACAACAAAAATATAATTAACATCTACTTGTTATTAACTAACAACTAACAACACAGACATTAATTACAAAACTACACATTCTACCTTAACCTTCTGGAAAATCTTGGTTACACTTGTTGATCTTATCTCAATCGATATTCCAATCAGTTCTATCTGTGATATCACTGGCTGGAATATTAATCGGAGTAGCTCAAGTTGTATCTAAGCCCCTACTCCACGACAAGGTGCCTATCACGTGAAGATATGCATAATTTTACCAGTGCCAAGAAAAAGTGAAAAGCAGAATAAAAACTGTAAGACTTATTGATTCAATGGTTAACTTCATTCTAGCTTAAAACAATGGAGACGGTAATAGAGCCTCACTTAAAACTAATACTGGAACGTTTTCAAAATTTCAAAATCCCAGGACCCTTACCTCAAGGGTAGATCTACGAAAACAGCTCTACATGAGGTCATTCGTACTGTGGAAAAATAATGTTTCCAATAAAGCTATCCATGACTCACTTGCCAGGACTATTCAGTCAAAGTTTGGCAGCACAACTCAAATCAAACACATCAGCAAAGGCACGCCGAGGAGAAGTTATTCTACCGCTATTGTAGCTGCTGGTCGTAGATAATATTCTTAATGCACTAGATAAGATAGGCGTGGAAGCAATAGCGTATGCGGATAACGTGATTATTCTAGCATCAGGTATGTTTGTTAACATATTAAGCGATATTATGCAAAGAGCCTTGGTTAGGATAAGTACCTGAATCATACGATGGGGACTAGGTGTTAACCTAGTAAAAACTGATGTGATGCTGTTCACCACCAAAACCAAAATACCGACTTTCAGGTTGAATTCATTAAATGGGCACCAGTTGAAACTGTTGGAAAAAGCAATATATATAGGAATTTTGTCAAAACCTCTGGAAATACAATGTTGATCTTTGAATCAGGAAGGCTTTCTATTCTACTCTGTGTAGCTTTCTACTCTCTCAAAAGGATGTTTGGCTAAAAATGGAGGATTCATCCTGATATTACACACTGGATGTACATGGCCATTATACGTCCAATTCTCACGTCCAATTCTTCCTGGACATAGGAACACCGAAGGAAACGAGAAAGCTGGCAGTTTAGCCCGAATCCGTTCCTGTTCGCAAAGGCAATTCCAGATAATTTGATTTTAATTTTGTGGAATTTATTTTTCTGGTGCGTTTATTCTCGTTAACCTCGGGGTTTAAAATTTGTTTGTGTCTATTGCATTGCCTGGTGTACCCGATGCACACATGCACAGTGGCATCCAGACACTTAAATACATTATTAAGTTTGCTGCGTTGTGTGCGGATTTTGTTGTTGGTATTTCAGCAATGCAATGCAATTAATTAATTTACTCATTTGCATTTGTACGAATTGCTAATTAATTTTTGAGGTTTTTCTCTATGGAAGTGCATCGAACGAGTGTCGTTTTGTGTGTATGGCATTATGGCAGCTTATGTATGCATGCGTCCATAAATAATTGCATGTATATAGGTGCGTATCTGTGTGAGCATATATCTCTGTTTTCGGTAATTATTTAAAAGTATTTATCTTTGCTGGTGTTTTAGTGTGAGTAATGTGTTCCTTTGTTGTTATTATTTTTAAAATGCATTTATTATTTTTGGCTTCTGCATGTTCATTTCAATTCTTGCGCAATGCACATATTAAAATTTTCAAACAAATTTTGTGTTTAATTGGTGCGATTATAGATACTTACAGCTTGTAATCGCTTCAATTCGCATTCTGTAACTATTTGTATGATGTGAACGTTTGGTGAAGGACATTCCAGCTCGTACATATGCAATTACCATATTGCAGTGTGAAGTTGAAGTGACCCTGTGATGCTGCCTTATATTGCAGAAGATATCCATTTCTGGTGTACGGGAGATTGATTCGATTGGGATTTATTTGAGGTGGTTACGTAGTAAGACTTTAAGCTTCAGAAGAATTTAAAAATGCACTTTATGCATATAGAAGCATTTCAGACGATTATAAATTTATTTAGGTCGTTAAATATAACATATTGTGAGATAGTTAATTCGTATGAAAAGTACTAAGCTTTAAAGCTTTTACACTTTTATAATTGCTTGACGGCTTGTATTTAATTAAAAAAAAATCATATCTACTTACTGAATATCAATATGACTCATTATAACATTTTATAAACCTATTTTTTTGACCTAAATTAAGCAAATTATTGCGAAAAACTTTAGAAAATGACATAACGATTGGAATGGAATTTATTTAAGTACATTGGAAGGAAATAAACTTAGAAGCAAATTTAGCACGAGTTTATATCCAAATCGCTTGATTGACATTCCTTCAACATAAAATCATGTTTTCTATTTCGAACCTTATTTTGAAGGAAGTGTTGATCTTCGAAATTTCTTTATTTTCACCTCTACCTCTACAATTTTATTTAATTTTATAAATTACACCTTTTGTTTTGACAAACACATATTTTTATGAGACAGAAGTCAATTGCAACCTATAATATCTAAAGCATCCTTCCATATTAACCCAAATAGAGATTATGGTTCAAGATAATATAAAGTTTTTAAATATCTATTGGTTTAATGAAACTAAATAAAGATACTGAACCACTACTTTTTATCAATTACTTGACTCGAGCAAACACGATGAGTGGATATTTCACACTATTTAATTTCCTTAAGATTCTTAGTACGGACACCTAAGAACTAAATCTTTATGTCGAATAATATAAATGAATGTTTGATAGTAACAGTAAAATTCACTAATTACTATTATGTGCTAGTTTATCACATAGTGTGAGAACATCGTAATGTACGATTAAAAATTTTGATATTTTTGTATAAATAATAGAATGTTTCGCGTCACATTGTGGTAGGTTCCAGTGTATAAGGGAAGTGAAGTATGCGAAGAGATAAAATTTTTTGCTAAATGTGAAAGTCATCGTTAATAAAATTGAACTGAACAATTCTGTAGTATTGCTAGATAACAGATTGTAGAAACATCGACGCGCAGTCTAAAAAAGACTTTTAGCTTTGAGCAGAGAAGTACTAACTCAATGGTATTGGCTTCTAATATCTGCCACTTTTATAAATGCCCAAAACTGAACAATAACAGAATTGTTATCTTGGGAACAGAATCGTTGCGCCCCATAACTTATGGAACAACACAAAATCATCCATCCGTCTCACATTTATTAATAGCTAATTGGATAATTGGTTTTATTTCACTACATCCTACTAAGTAAGGCTTCAGAGTAACTCGCACAGAATAATAAATAATAATAATAAGTAGTACCAACACAACCAACTGCTTTCGACATTGAACACATTTGGTCGTATTGATTTATAAAAAAAATTGCCTGAACACACCTTTATTCTCTTATCAAATTAACTTTAATCGTATTGCATCACAATAAACTTAAACTTTTAATTAAACACATGATTAGAAATCGAAAGAGCGTCCGCAAATTTGCTCAAATAACAGATGACCCGGAGAGCAGAACAGTCTTTCAAATGAAATGGGATGTATTTCTGATGGGCCTTGAAATAGGGGATAAAACCTTCTGCGCCATGAATAAGTACGTCAGGCTGAAGCGTAAACCAGTAATACCATCCATCCATGGAGTGACAGGCTTGGTATATACAGATATAAAAAAATCTGAGGCCTTCGCGGACATTGGCTATCTAACCTCGTTGGAACTCATTTATACAGAATGAATTTTTGTGTGATTTTGTATGCAAAAATGATTAATTTGCTTGTCAGTGTAAATGACAGTGTAAATGTAAATTAGTCAAGCCTTTGCTTTGATCAACATTTAGGTTGCATTTTTATTACTATATTGCCATCTTTTTATCAATGTTGCCATCTTTTTTATACATAAGGAAAGAGGTAAATCCGAAAATGTATTTATATTAAGCATTTTGTACCGAAAGTATTTAAAGTTTGTTTCTGATTTGATATTAAATATCCTCGTATTTGATTTAATAATTGAAATTGAAATTGTACTCAAAGCGTATTTTCACACAAATTTTGATTTATTTTATAATTCATTAAGTGTCTTTAGTTGTTAAAATAAAATAACAAGCTGTGTTCATTCTTGCACAGCTTGTTATTTTATTCATGTCATTTTCTAATTTATTTAAAACTTATTTTAATCATTAAAAAATTTTCAATATTCCATGTCCATATTAAAAGCAAAGTTGTTTCCCAAAATCATCATTCCTAACGTAGACAAATTTATTTTACGGTCTAGTACCAACTGTGCATTGACACCCAAAATTGATCTATTTAGTCGAGTAGCTGTGTCAACTTTTGAAGAAATCATTTTTTTGTCTAAAACTGTACTTATTTTAGTTATAATTTTAGAAACCGTCTTAGGTATTAACAGTTTAATGTTTTCGGCATTATGTTAATTGAAAAATTACTACCTATAGCAGTCACTCCAACATTTCAAAGGAACACCCATTGATGGTAATAAGTTTTAGTTAATTTACAGTATTTTTTAAAAAATAAATAAATAAAAAATCAACAACTGAAGAAACAGATGCACAGATACCAAACTATATGGTACCGAAATAAACTGATATATTTTTTTTGGTTCGGTTCCGGTTTTCGTTCCAGCAAAAATCTGGTTCGATGCCCTGATTAAAACAGAGCTAATTTTAGCAGCTGTCGTCAGCAAATCGAAACAATCATGTGTGCTCACGATTGAGAGTAACCGATTGTACTTATACTCTGTTACTCGTTATTTGAGTTCGTGAATACCTCGAATGCTATATCACACCTTTTATTTATAAGTTTTAACAATAATTCATGGTTTTTACTGTCACTTCGAATGACAAAAGCAATTGACTACTTGGCTAAATGCGTTCATATTACATGTCAAAATGCAACACAAAATCGTTGTAATGTTGAAGTTTTAGGTTTTTCGTATGTATTGTTTAGTTGGTTCAGTAAATACGTTTAAAAATAAAAATTTAAAGGAATGGGTTTGTGAGGTCACATCGAGGGTATAAGACAAAGAGCGAGATTTATGCTCACTGCGTGGTAAACTAGCAAAAGTTAGTATGTTTGCAAGCATCAGACGTAGGCAATGACAGAAATGGTGTTGCTGTGAGTGGTAATAGGTTGTTAGAAGTTAAAGAAAACCACAGGTCGGCCAACTAATAATGCAAACAATATTAAAGCAAATTTTATCAAGTTCTTTCGTAAATCCAATTATGAAGTTCTTTAACAAAATTCTTATTACTGCGCAACTCTATTTTGACAAAACTTTAATTCGTGACAGTCCCACGACACCCAACACCTTCTGCCATAGAAATTCGCATATATTTTTGTTTTTAAGCTCCTTCGATAAATAATATCTGCTCTATTTTTGTATTTTTGCATCCTGTAGTGTATTTCCTTAGGAGCCTAATTTAACCACCTTTTTTGAATTCCTTGTTTGGCAACAATAGTCGTTTTTGACGTGCTTAGACTTGGAGGTATGGTCTATAGTTTTATATAATTTATATTATTTATCCTTTTTATGAAACAAATAATTATTGAAGTTTTTATATGTGATTGGTCTCTTATCGAAGTTTTTTTTTAATCATTGACGCCAATAAAACTGACCAATATTATATCATATCATTTAATATATATTATATATATTATTTATATATACCATATATATATTATATATATTATATATATATATATTAAATATATATTATATTATATTAATATATAATATATATTATATTAATATATATATATTATTTAGAGTTTTATGAACTTAGACTTAACATATGTTAAGTTTGCAATCTGGTCTCACTTAAAACAGTGGTCAAATGTGAAGGAATTGGGTATATGTTATCAACTAATTTTTTCATTGCTACACAGATGGTTTAGAAATCGAATTTCTAAACCACTTGTCCACTGCATGTCATTGAACGGACAATATTTGAAACTGATTATGACATGACCAAAACTAGACATAGCTGTAAAGTAAAATATATTTATTATAGTCAAAACCATGAGAATCGAATTTCAATATACTACATTATAGTACTTTACTTACTAATATTATTACTTTAATAAAACTGGCAACTCTTGAAAAATATAGCAGCTGACTACAGTAGCTAGGTGAATAATTGAAAAAAATCTTATAATTTTATTGTTGGAGTTATAATAAGAGTTTATAGATATGTGGAGGCGAGTACTTGAGAAAATGCGTAACATCTGGAAGATGACACAACCGCTTGCTTTGCGTTGTTTGCACGTTAGGTCCACATTATATCCAAAAGCAGATGGCAAATAAATATATAATGCAATTTTTGTAAAACTTTTTGACAGAAAAACCTTCCATGTAGATATACCTGCAAAAGAAGACCCATCTAAGAACACGGTACTATTTAGTAAGGATGGCAACATAACACTTATAGGACTGAATAAGGATAACGATGGAAACACCATTGATGCTGAAACGGCAATAAAGATATGTGATGCTTTTATTAAATTTGAATCTGATGATGCATCTCCAGTAGCAGTGCTTTATGGTGTAGGTGAGTCATTTTGTACTGGATTCGACATATTAGATTTAGCAAGTGATGAACGCAGCGAAATTAGCATGGATATACTTATGTTACCAGAGGGTTCTGTGGGACCTACACGGCGAATGTTAACAAAACCCGTTGTTTGTGCGATTACTGGTTACTGCGTCGCTAGCGGTATGGAATTAGCACTTTCGTGTGATCAGCGAGTAATGGAGACTACAGCTAAAATGGGTTTTTTTAATCGGCGCTTTGGTGTGCCCATAATAGATGGGGGTACGGCACGTTTACCAGCAATAATCGGTATATCTCGTGCACTTGATTTAATACTTACAGGACGTATTCTCGAAGCAACGGAAGCCTATGAAATCGGTGTTGCAAACAAAGTTGTACCAGTGGGAGATGCTCTTAAAGAAGCTGTAAATTTAGCTCAGTTTTTATCAAAATTTCCACAAGAAGCACTCAAACATGATCGCAAATCCATGCAAGAATCTTCATTTGAGGCAATTGGTTTTGAGAGCGCTATTCAAAATGAGATTATGAGTATTACGAAAGAAATTGTAGATGAGATGCAAGACGGAGCGAAATGGTTTTACAGAAGTAAGTAGATTTTTATTTATAATTCACAAAGAAATTTATAATTTCTTATATATGTTGTTATTTTTTCGAATTTTTTATAGATTTCAAGATCAATAATACTGGAACTTGGATGCCAGCTGAAATGACAATGGCTGATTGGGATAATAAAGTCGTTGTCAAGGAAGCAGCTAAAGTGAAAAATTTCAAGGATGTTGAACACATTCCAGTTATTAAACAAGTTATTGGACCACATAAGAATGACATTGAAAAAAACGCTGTATGTACGTCAGAAAAAGAAGACGGAAATGACAAAGACAAAAACAATAAGTGATGATAAAATATTGAGCAGTTCGTGTTAAATTTCTTGTTAATGCCTTTTTAGATGTTATCGATTATTGTTTGTAATTTGCAATTCATAATTTATCAAGTATTATTATTATTTACATCCCCCTTCAAACGAAGGGACTTTAGTTTCACGCTGTAGTAGTTGACGATTCTCACTGTAGTCCAATTATTTGAAATATAGTAGCCAGCGACCGTAATATTTCATATTGACTTCACATTTCACCTTTCTAGTTACTGCGGTTTAATAATGCGTTGGGCAATACGAGGGTCACTATTTATATTTTGAGCTTTGGCAACACTGATTGTTGTCAGTTGTCATCTGATGTTTCCATATGAAAGTTTGACATTACTAAACATAACGTACCTTGCACTTTTTGTCAAAAGAGCGTTATTTGTGTTCGCGAGAAATGAAAAATGGAAACGTGGATTATCAATATTTGGCTATGAAGCTCCATTCCTTCCCACTGTGAAACGCTGATACAATGATTTTAATCATGGCTGCAGTTTGTGCAATGACGAAATTCACGAAGTTCGTGAAGGTCATCCGAAATCAGTTGTTCAGTTGTGTCAGAAAACATTGATGTTATGCAAAAACTGATACTCGTAATGCAATATCGTCATGCCACGTACTATGAGATAGAGGTTGAGGTGGAACCCTAGGCATTAGTTCCACCAGCATATATAAAATATTGTATGATCATTTAACCATGAGAAAGATTTGTTCTCTTACAAAAATGCTCGTGTCGATTAGTGCACATAAATGCTTAAGATGTACAAGGGTGGTGCTTCAAAAGACGTATATGAGTATAAGATTGTAACAGGTGACAAATCATGGATACGAGTATATGCATATGAGCTGGAACGTAAACAGCAGTCACAAGATGAACCAAATCCAACAAAAGTTATTCGTGCTTGAAGCATTTCGAAACAAGTGGTTGCTTGTATTTTTGGGAAAATTGGTCATGTGACAACTATACGAGTACCATAACAGGAATGTGTAACGGTCAATTCCGAATGGTATACAATCGAAAGTCTTTAGTGAAATACGAAAAACAAACAGACGCCGTCGGATTATTCTCCATTTCCATCAAGACAATGCGAGTGCACACACACCTCGTCTAACAACCGACTATTTGAACATTCAAAAAATCAAATTAATAGGTCATCTGCCGTACAGGCTGCGAACTGATTTTGCACCCAATGACTTTTTCTTGTTCCCGAACGTCAAGAATAAGTCGCGACAATCGGATTTTTGTCGGCGAAAGAAACAGAAGCCGTTGTTGCTTTTAAAAACCATGTTTTGGAGGTGTTTGAAGAAGATTGGAAGAAATGCTTTGACAAATATGGTAGTTCGAACACACGCTAAAGTGTATTAATCATAGCGGAGAATAATTCGAAAAACATTAAAGCAATTTTCAACAACAATTTAGTACTTTTTCATCAGTAGGTTCTAAATATAAATAGTCATCCTCGTAGACTTAAATTATACTAGCGTGATCGTCACACGCTTAAATGATTGTCTGTAGAAGAAAATTATTTTAGTTCCTCATTTTCCGATTTAACTTTTCATTCAGTTCTACACTACTAGAAGTCATTTGGCTAATTTTATATCAATCCCTATTGTAGATTTTAGTATGACGGTTTTATTTCTATCCAATTACACCAAGTTTCAAAAATAAAAAATCTATAATTATAGAGGAAAATATGCCATTAGAAGCGAAATCAATACATATTTTTGAAAGGACCTCAAACTGCGCAATAAAATTATTGATCTTCACTACAAATATAAGTCCAAGAAATGGACTATAAATGGAAATTTATAAATGAAGATATATAAACACATCGTTTTTGTTGTTTTTCTGCATTATCACAGCTTTAAATATATACTTACTTAATACTAGTCAGTATTAGTTATATGAAGATTGTACTCTCATACTAATTGTTGGTATGAAAACCAGAAAAACTCTGTGTACAGAAAGTAAATAATAATAACTAAATTATTTAGTTAGTAATAACTAAATAAGTTTTTCGATTCAGTTTAGTTTTTTATTAATGCTTTTATTCATTATCTTCATTTTATGCTAAAATTTATTCCTAACAATTGAGTAGAAAAATTACAATAATTAAAAATGTAAATAATCAATGTTGTCGATGGCAAATAAAGTCTGCGTACCAAAGTTCAAAAAGTGTCGAAATCTGTTATTTTTTTAAAGATATTATGTTTTCAGTAACTTGTCGGATAACCTTCCTTTTTATAACCTCCATAAGTCGTTTTCGCTTCGACTTGACTAGCTTTGTTGCGGGGTCATATTTCTGAAAATATGGGCAGGTGAGGCATGGTTACAAAATATAAGAGGTAATACCCCACTTCCTTCGTGGGGGTCACTGAGCAACAAAGTCGATCTTGCGCTGGTTTTTAAAACCACATTTCGCTTTGTATTTGTCTTCGAAATGTGCATCACAAATGTACGACTTTTTACTTCGTGTAATCTTTGCCTCCGAAGCATAACAATTTTGCAACCATAGCCGGGGGAATTTGTAAAATTTCTGTTATTTGAATTGCTAATTTAATAAAAATTATATATCATCAACAGCAACATATCAAAAAAAAAGTTGTCGCTTCTTCTGAAACTAAATATTATTCCAATAGGCGGTCAGTAACGATTTTCTCTCTATTTCCTCATTTTCTAAATTGCACTTCACCAATTGCCCTTTCGATTGCAAAATTCATGAAGCATAAGAAGGTACATCAGAAAATCGCCCCATATAAATCACACAAACTAAAAATATAAATAGAAAATATAGTAGCAATTGCTAAGCGCCTGCGACTAGTTCTAAACTAGAGAATTCAGTAGTCCCCAGGCGTATAGTACTAGTAGCTTCATAATCCATTTTAAGTGGGCTCAACTGGTGGATTATACATAGAGCTGTCATTGGTGGAGTCAATTGTCCCCGTACGACACACCTCGGAATTAGTCTTTTCACTAGCTCCTAAGGGATAGAATGGTGTCAATTGCTCCCGTATCATACACCTCGGCACTAGTCTCTTCATTAGTTCATAGGGCGAACAATGGTGTCAATTGTACACGCACTATACACCCCGGCACCAATATTTTCACTAATTCTTATTGGAAAATAATAAAAAAAACATGCATTTTATATATAATTATATATATATTTATTTTAATATATGTATATACATAAAAATATTTTTATATTAATAAATTACTTTTTAGCTGATTGTGCTGTAGTTAAATCAGATCATCTAGGGATTTAACTGATGATCTATAGATGATGTTGCAACCTTGTCTTTAATGAAAATAAAAAAAATATGATTTATTAATAAACAATTAATTTAACTGAATTTGGTACTTACATGGAGATTGGACACATTCATTCGTATTGATCGCATCGTGTGACTGAATGACTTATATATAGCGTTCTGTTATTAATTATATTAATTCTAGATATTATTATATATTATTTTACATATTTTCATATTTAAAATCGATATCAGTTGGCATTACTTGATCTTCATTCATAGGTTCACAGTCGACCAAGTATATTTCAAATGTTGTATGTTTTTACATACATTTTTACATATTACTCTCATTTTGTTTATACACAAGCACGGTTGCCACTTATGGTACTTTAGTATCAAAATTGGTACTTTTTTTTTCGTTTGGTACTCATGTTCAAAAAATGGTACATATTTGACGATTAAGTTTGTTTATCATCTGGTTTCGTATTATTTAAGTTGAAAAATTTTTTCAGCTATCAGACCAACCACAATAAAACGCTTTTATTTAAAAATTTTAGAAGCAGATATTTCGTTCTTTATTTTAGAACATCTTCAGTGCTTAATTTTTTAATAAAAAGCTTAACTTAAGGTTTATAAAATTACAATTAAAAACAATATATACGTAAAGTAACATATATATAAAATGACACTATTAAAGGCACATATTTGACGACCCAACTTTATTGTAGATATTTCCAATTAATTTTTTTTTATAAATACAACTTTTCACTATTTCATATTTTGCTCATTTATAACACTATGAAAAACACAGAACGAAAAAACAAAAAGGTCCAAAAAAATTTTGGACCTTTTTTTACAGAAAAGGTACCTTTTTAAACCAATTTTGGCACAGAAAAAAATTTTCAAGTGGCAACCGTGTACACAAGCATAAGCAGTGGATTTTGTTTCAACTAGTGAATCGTTGCATTACCAGGGCTCAAAGAATGCACTAGTTTCAAAATAAATAACTCCAAAATATCGGTGAATTTCTTTGTTTCTCATTTGTTCTAGATCTCTCTTTTATAAAATTAATAGAATGCAGTATTAAATTTCGTACAAGAAAAGTATTGAGAAATTTATATCTTCTACGTGGCGATTTTACTCATCCTCATGGACCACCGATTTCACTAGTTCCTTTAGACCACTTCGTGTACTAATGTCTAGCGACAATTGTCTCCTAATGATTTGCTGGGAGTTTCTATACTATATCACTAAAAACACTAAATACAAGGGGACTTCTCAAATGAGCTTTTGAAAAATTTGTCTCCAAAAACATTAGGCCGGTCAAGAGGAACGCTTTGTGTTTGTTCTCTATTTTTGGTTTTGCTTGTAAATTTGATATAAAATGCATGCATTTTTAGCTAAAGAGAAAGAGTGCAATATTTGTTTACCTCTGTTTTTGTGTTTTACTATATTTTCTTTTGGAGACATGTTAACATAGTCAAAATTCAGACATGTTAACATAGTCAAAATTCAGTTAGACATTTACATCGTTTTGAAATTTATCCCTTGCATCAATATAGAAACCTTTCCTTCGTTTTGATTAATTAAATTACTGACATGAAATTTGCAAATGTATATAAAAGGGGGTAGGAGCCCTTTAATCAGCAAATTTCGTTGCTTGAAATTCATGAACTCACATCATACTCTCTTCCCTCTCTCATCTATTGGTAGCCGGTTCTCAAGTTCATGTTCATGTTACGTTCATGATAATGTAAGTTCAGGTGTATATAAAATTTTTAAACGGTATACAAGCTATGTCCTTAGTGATAAGTTAATAATAATTATTGTAAATAGGTCTTAAATAGTTCGTAAATAATATAAGCTATCATGTAAGATTAGATTAAGTAATAAATGCAAGATTT